GCCATAAATGCAATCATATATATCCTTATTAGAGAGGCAGAGGGAGCATTGAGAGAGACACACCAAAGTAAAGTCTATGTGAAGACAGAGAAGGAAATTGGAGAGATCTGGCCACAAACCAAGGAACACCTGTGACCACCAGAATCTGGATAAGGCAGCAAATAGAATCTCCCCTGGAGTCTCAGGAGAGAGTGTGGTCTAACACCTTGACTCCAGAATTCCAGCCTCCAAAACTGTTAAGAGAATTAATTTCTATTGTTTTAAGCCACCACATTTGTTGTCATTTGTTACAGCGTGGAGGAGTAACTTTCTTTGAAGGACTTCAGACATACTCCTGGGTCAGGAAAGTTAAACTCCAGTTCTTTCTGGTTGAAATATTCTTCTCATATGGAAACCAACTTGACAATAAACAAAGAAAGAAAGAAAGACAGAAAGACAGAAAGACAGAAAGGAAGGAAGGAAGGAAGGAAGGAAGGAAGGAAGGAAGGAAGGAAGGAAGGAAGGAAGGAAGGAAGGAAGGAAGGAAGAAAAAAAGAAAGAAAGAAAGATTCTTCTCCCAGGTTTCCAAACAGCCTCTCCAGTTCTTTCCTGAAGTACCATTTGCCTGATCATTGTCCAACACTGCAACCCCCAGCACTCTGGTTATCTTTTCATTCACATTTTATCCAAATTGATCTTGATACAGTAGTTAAGAGTTTAGTCTCTGGAATCATTATATCCAAGTTTGAATCCCCCTTTGATACAAAGTAAACAGGAGGTTTTGGGAAAGTTACCTAATTTTCCTGTCAAATGGTAAAAATAATAACCTCTCACCTAGAAGGATTTAAATTACACAAATTAAAGATTGAGTATAGTTTAAGCTTATCTAACAGTGTCTGACTTAGAGTATCCCTCAAAAAAGGTATTTTAGGTTCCAAAGGTTTTCATTACATGAGTTTTATGTCTGACTTTTCCTTATTTATTTTATTATGACAAGCAGACAGCATAGGCATAAATTAAACATTAGAATCATCAAATTTTTAAAAGGCCAATTTATTTTGGGTATTTTTAAATGTAAATTACTCATCAACAGCACATCTCCATAACTACCTACATTCCTTCAACATGATCCATAAGCTTAGATCTGTGTACTAATACCAGCACATTGATAGGGAGGTTATTATTAACATTAAGTCATCAAAACAGCAACATCTGTATTGTGTGTTCCATAATAAAGAAAGGAGTGGGGAGAGCATTTTAAAACATGAAGTAAACTGCCCTAAAGGCTAAAATTGGTGCCAGCTTAATAAGCCTACTATGGTTTATGAAATATTTGTGCTCTGTCTGACAGCCTACAATAAAAACCTGTGGTAGGTTTTCAATTGGATAAAAGGAAAAACAGTATATTGGAATGAGGCCACATTTATCTAAATCAACAGAGACATTTCCTACTGCAGTGACCTTCACTGTGTTTTGAGGACTACAACAGCACTGAGAAACTTTTTTTTCTTTAAATACATAAAATACTCTGAAAGAATTTCTCTTTAGGTTTTTTCCCACTATGATCAAGTATTCAAGACCTCATTATAAGGATTTCGTATGTTTGATGTTATTATACACTTCTCTCCACCACCATGAGCAAATGTTACATTTTACAGAAATGCTAAAATTCTCCTAGAAATGTCATATTCCTTCCCCTGATGATCATCACTCAGAACAACAGCTTTTTAAAAACCCATCGTGCCGACATCTATGGAGAGGAATAATCTTAAAATGACTGGAATCAATCAACATAATCGAAAATCTAATGCTTAACATCTGTATAAATACTTAGATATGGGACAAAGTAAAGAGTCTGGGTAAACTAAATTCTTTTCTTTTCTTTATTTTTGAAAGAGATGTTGCATTTTTAATCTCTTCACTTATTATAGATTACCAGACAGCCAGACAAGATCCAGTCTGATTGTGTAAGTCATTCTACAGGTCCTCAGAATTTTAATACAAATCACAATTTGTTCAAGTTACCAAAATTTAAAATAAACCAATTTAAACCGCAAGTGATTAAATTAGAAGTAATCACATTTTCTTTTTAAATTAGAAGTAGAAATATAGAGTTAATTTCATCTTAGTTTTCTCTTTCCATTTGGCCAATTTAGCTTTTCTGAACTTTGTCAAATGGTTGTCACTTAGTAATTAAAATAGAGTGTATATATATATATATATATATATATATATATATTTACTCTATATATGTATCCTTTTATTTTCTTTATTTTACTACATATGTGCAGATATGTGTATATGATGTGTATATGTACATATACATTATGAATATAATATAAAATAGACTCCATACAAGGATGCATTCCCCTGGAATTCATATACTAATAAGACTATGTTCACTGGGTTATATAAACTGATTCCTTGAAAAGTAATCCAAAATGTCAAGTATGTTCCTATAATTTAAGGGGGAAAGACTTTATCCATGATATTTGCTTATTCATAGCTCTTTTTCTGTATAATTTGCTTATGAGTTATGACTAAAAACATGACTTGAAAGGTCTTTGTTTTTCATACTGTGCCCCATCCAGCCCTGTATCACTGACTAAAATTGCTGCACAAAGCATCCTTTGAGTCAGACAATGAAAGCATCTGTGAAAATTAGACATGATATATTATAGGTGATACATTATGCCTTATAAGCCATTGTCTGTGATTGGTTTATCAAATTATTCTGCAATGTAGTATGGCTTTCAGGAAAAGGACTAAAGAACTGCCAGAATTTAATCTGATAGATGGGTACAGAAGAGAATCTGGCAGTGAAAATGGAAGGAAATGTAAAAAAACAAAGTCAGAGAGATGATGGGCAGAGCATGTAAGGCTTTGTCAATCATTGTAAGGCTGCCAGCCCTTACTCCTAGGGAAATAAGAACCCATTGCAGGGTTTCATCTAAGAAGTAGCATGATCTGACTCACATTTCCAGAGGATCACTATGGCTATTGTTTTGAGAATAGGCTTCATATAGACAACAGTAGGAACCCAGTGAATGGCAGGGCTATAATTACACTAATACTAATGCAGGTGAGAGATGATGTTGCCCAGGCCCCACGAGGATGGTAGCAGAAGTGATTTTTTCTAGTACTACATACATACTTATTGCAGATTACTTGAATCTCGGAGTCTCTGCCTCATGCTCTTTGGTTGGTTGGTTGACCTCTGTTTTATTTTGCAACATTGTTGTATTTGTGAAAGAAAAGAGAGATGAGCAACACTTGCTGCTGGTCCTTAAAACTTCTGCCTGAAGCTGGGTTGGTCAAGGTTTCCCCAGAGAAGCAGAGTCCGTAGGAGAGAGACAGAGAAGGCATTCATTGCACTAGTTAGGCAAGTTTGAAATCTATAGGGGAAGAGGGGGTACTGTCAAGATGAGCGGGCTGGACAACCTGGAATTTATTTCAAGAAGCTGGCACTGCATCCAAAATTTCTTTTTTAGTGAAAACTCAGTTCTGTTTTTAAGACCTTTAACTGATTTGGGCTCAAGCCATTTGGATTATCCAGGATAATCTCCTTTACAGAAAGTGAACTGACTGTCAGCTGCTAATCATATCTATAAAATCCCTTCACAGGAATATCAAATCTGTGTTTGAGTTCTTGGGTACTGTAGCCTAGCTAAGTTGTGCATAAACATTACCATCACACTGACAGTGTTTCACTGGTCAGAGTAGGTCACATGATGGCAACTAAGCTTTACAGAGCAATGGTCTATTTATCTTTTTGTAGAAAGGAGCTATGAAGCACCTCACATAGGTAATGGTACCTCACAGAGGGAAGGAATAGTTTGAACTCTGATAAAAATTTGTTACACATTTTGAACTTATTATTTGTCTTTTGTTGCTTACTTTCCTACTGCTTTCCTCATATTCTGTGTTTTTATTCCCGAAGATACAAAAACCACAGTTTGTATATCACTAAGGAGTGACAGGAATGTCTTTCTCATTTAGTGAAGGTACTGCCAATAAATAAACTAAATCTTGGCACCCAGATGCTATGGCAAGACTCCCCAAGTAGTCAACTTTCCATACTCCGGAAGCATCTTAGATAGGGATACAATGTTTTATGGATGCAAGAACAATAAACTGAAAGCCTGTAGTTAAGACTCTGGCCCTTACACTAACCTCCACCACACAACTTAATCGTGGGCCATTTTAAGACCTTGGTAAGATTTATGTTTGATATCTTTAATCAACTAACATTCTTGCAATTGGAAGTGATAAAAAACCAAATCAGAACCATATTGATTAAAAAAATGAATTACTTGTCTTCCCTAATTAAATAGTTCAGATGTGGGGCGCCTGGGTGGCTTAGTCGGTTAAGAGTCCGACTTTCGCTTAAGTCATGATCTTGCGGTTCGTGGGTTCGAGCCCCGCATCGGGCTCTGTGCTGACTGCCAGCTCAGAGCCTGGAGCCCGTTTCAGTCTGTGACTCCCTCTCTCTCTGACCCTCCCCTGCTCACGCTGTCTCTCTCTCTCCTAGAAATAAATAAAACATTAAAAAAAAATTAAAAAAAATGTTCAGATGTAGGATTGGCTTCAGGGACAGCAGGATCAGAAGTTCCTCATGGAGCAGCGACTGACAAATAAAAACTAGTAGTTACAACTCTGTGTTATCTTTCTTCTTAAACTCGTCTTCCCTTGCATATTTGAAAGACGATCACAAAAACTTCAGATCCCAGATTTCATAGTCTTAATCTCAGAGGAAAAAGAAGAGGGCTTTTTCTCCTCAGCAGTCAGTTGGACAACAGTCCTGACGCTGGCTCATACTGCCACAAATCATGCTTCTGCCTGGTTAAATCACTCTGGCCAGGAAGACAGCTTAAGCCAATTAGTTCCCTTTACTGGAGGTGAGGAACAGTAGACTTTGGCCACCAAAACCACAGGCATTGATAGTAGGAGGCAATTTCCCCCAAGGAAATCTAGAATTCTCTTTTAATGAAATAAAGTGAATGTAAAATTTGGGGGTTTAAAGTTATTTAGTAAACAAAATTACCATATATTCTTTATCTGTAACATAAAGGATCTATATTAGATGATTTCAAATGTCTCTTCAAGATCAATGTTTTCGACACATTATGTCATTTCATCTTGTGAACCTCTGGATCCTCTTTACTGGTAAGATTCATGGGGCTCCAAGGATCCTGCTGAAATAGAGAACATTATATGAACACAAGCTTAAAACATCATAGTGTAATTAAAACAATCATTCTGAGGGGTTTTAGTTTGTTTGCTTTGTTTGTTCTGTTTCCATTTAGAAGCTAAGCTGTAGTTTTTTAATTATGGGGTAGAATAATTAGTCTTGACTTTTATGGATATACCATTAATCTAGTGACCAGAGCTACTAGTTGATTTCTATTATTTCTCTACGTGGGAGTTTTGGTACGTGCAACTTGTGAAAAATGTGCATCAAAGACACTATGAAATGTGTGACAAAAATACACATTGTTGTTTCATAATAAAATTACATTTACTTTGTTTTTTAAAAATATTTTGATTTTACCAATTGTAATTCCTGACTTAAAATGGACAGTTAACATTTAGAGTCCTTCAATGAACATTTTAATTTGTTATCATAAAGGTTTCTTATTTAGAGAGAGAATTATCTATTACTTTTTCAAGTCATCATACTTATTTTTCAAGGGCTGACACTAACTCATTCCATTCTACTTTGGCAATAGATAACAGAGAAGACTAATTACCACTTTCAAAATAAGGGTACCAATTCTTAACCTATGTACTATGATTATGACTTGAAGTGTTTATATTTAATGAACCTTGAAAGAATAGAATGCTTAAATTTTCAAATAACGTGGTCCATTATGATGACATTTAAACTTTAAAGTGGCAATTAAAATGGTTAATAGTCGATATAGCTACTCTGTTGTGCCAAAATGAACATGCTGATAGAAAATAAAAAGTCTATGGGTTTATGGTGATTTTGAATTTTAAATTCAAACACTTAACCATTGCTAATCAATTGAATTCACTTAATAAATTTGACAATGGACCTTAACTGTGAGATGGGATATTTGCTATTAAACACTTCAAGTTTCCTTTACTTGTATCGAGGGTGGCTGGTGTTTTGGGAGTTTTGTTTGTTTTAGCTAAACCAGTTGATTCGTGCTGTTTAAGGTGACACAAGTAAGCCATTGTTGTGATTTCATTCTAAATTCTCCCCTCATCGCTGGGCTGAGCTGGCAGCACTGTGTTCATGGACCACCCACATTTATTTTGTCCCCATCCAGGTATTGCCCATCTCTTAAACACATACCTGTTATCTACTTTTCTCATCAACAAACATTCAGTGCTATCTCTGTCTCCAGCTACCTATTCAGAGAAGGGTCAGCTCATTATCTCTTGATGAGTGGTGACAGACAAGTTAAGGAATTAGAGTGTCATTCAGTAAGATAAGATACTGTGACAGAGAATGGGCAAGTAAATTAAATCGTTTTTTAGTGTTCCTGAGAGGAGGAATCCTTCAATCCTTTGAAAAGAGAGGAGATACATGTGGATTCATGAAATTTCAATTATAAGCATATCTCCCATGAAATGGTTTGACTGTATATCCATCTTAAACATTAAGAAATATTAAGATACCTGAGATACAGGAGAGAAAAACTTCTCTAATATTAGGCCAATCCATTAATATAAAAATGATATTTGGAAGCTATGCCTTTCAGTTCTCAACTATTATAAACAAATAAGCACTTCGAATGGAAAAATGTTAAATTCTTGAGCAAATATTTAAGTTTTAAAAAAAAATAACTCAGCCATAGATGAAAATTTTGCTCTTAATCACCATCTAATACGACAGATGAATACAAATTTATGAGGACAATCATAGTACGGAAATGAAATCAGGAAGTAACATAGGTATTCTTATCTAAGCCTGTACTGTCTGATATGCGTTTGAAATGTGGCTAGTGTAAATTAAAATGTGCTGTAGTACAAAATATACATCAGAGTTACAAGTATAGAAAAAATGTAAAATATCTCAATAATTTTTCTATTGGTGAATGTTAAAGATATACAACATTTTGGATATTTGGGGTTATATAAAATATGTTATTATAATTAATTTCACCTGTTTCTTTTCTTTTTTTTTGTATGTGGATATTAGAAAATTTTACATTGCATGTAGGATTTACATTATATTTCTATTGGACTCCTTTGTTCTTAGCAATACAGCATAGCATTAGCATATTGAAAATTACTTTTTTCCACTCGATTCTCATGCATGGTTCATATAATTCATGGCCTTTGTATTAAAAATACTTTCATATACCTAGAGCCATTAAAATGTGTTATCATAAAGGAATGGAAAATGAATTTTTCTCTATCATACAATTCCAATACTGACACTGAAGGCTTTTTTTGTGTGTAATTCTACCATGCATTAGGAATGTCTAGTGCAAAGCATAAATCTGCACAGTTGTATATTTCGTTATGATTCGTTTTGACATTCCCAATTACATTTAGAAACCTTACCGACAGTGTCCCCAGCAATCTTTTCAACCACCTAAATAAATTTTGTTAAACTCAACCAATGTATTGAACATGATTTATTTATTTAGCTGTTAACTCTAGTTTCTTTGGCATACCTAAAATTGAACTTACACCAAAATCTATTTGCTATCTTATTAAATAGTACAGAGCCATGAAGACCCCACTTTCAGAAACACTGAGATCTTGCCATTCTTTTCCCATAGTGTGTGAAATCATAAATTTTTGTTCAGTAAGTATTGGTGTGAAAACTGATCTTTTTATAAGCACTGGGGAAATGAAGAAAGTAACCTCTTGCTATTTCCATTATCAACCCCAGCTTTTTTGTGTAATACTAAAACTTGCCCAAACCCTTGAGCAAAATCTACTTTTTTTCTAAGCTCACTTGCCAAATTTTTTTAAAGCTAAACTTTTTTCTATGCATCACTTTTATCGAAATAAAGAACAACCAAATGTCAAACAATCTGTTTCTATTCTAAGAAGACTTCTATCTAGATGGTGTTTACAGTACTCAAATATAGAATAACATTTTTAGAATATCAAGTAAGGTATCTAGGCGATCTAAAAATCCATTGCATGAAAATTTCAATCATAAATTATTTTCTAATCTCAGCCATAATAAAAATAAAAAATAAAAATGAAAGACATCCATGATTAAAGAATATGTTTTGACAGAGTGTAAAGGTACTATTGCCTAACTGCATAAAATGAACTCTTAGTCACTTAACATTGTAACTTCAGTTGAAGTTGCAACACAAGTTCCTAAGGAGATGGAAAAAAAGAGATGGTTTCAGGAAGTTATTCCAGATAAAACAAAGTTAAAAACTTTTTAGTTTGTAACTCACATTCTCAAAAATCACATTTTTGTATAACGTTCAATCTGTGCCCTGAAGTTTATGCATAACAGCAGAGGTACACAATGAATACTCAAATATTGCTATTTGTCACATCAGAAATTAGACTTAAACCAAACCTGTTCACAAAACTAGTTCTATGAAATTATTTTTCAGTGTGCAAATGAATTCTCTAAAACAACACATTTTCTTAAGTCATGACGTTTAATGTAACACTCAATTTTAAGATGGGTAAGTTTATAATTGATAAGATATAATCATCCATTCTTTGTTATTATTAAAATAATAATTATGAAAATTATATGTGCGTAATAGAGGTAGTGCACATCCTGATATAAATATGTGTGAAAGCACCCTGGGAGAGATGTTTGTTTTTAATTCTCCTAACATGTAATAGTGCTTCTTCCCTCTTGTTAAACCAGATTGGCCACTCTCATACCATATAGCCAATAAAAGATCTCAAGGCGGGAACAAGGAGCAGTGTCTTCCACCTGGCTCTAGTCTCTACTTAGCAATTCTACAGCTTTGTCCTGCAAGTCAGTTCAGCTCCAGGCAGTTAGGAAGTTAGCTTTTACTGAGTATTTACTGCACACTGAGTAATACACTCACACCCTCCTGGAAAAAAGGACTGCCTACAGAGCAGAGCAGAAAGCACCTGGGGCCAGAGAGGAAGCAAACAGAAACCAATTAGCTTAATAAGGCAAGGTTTTCTGGAGGACATTGTAGTTTGAGCCCCACTGTTCTGGCTTTTCCTGAACTATTTTGCCCTGTTTTTTGTTTGTTTGTGTTTGTTTTTATTTTCTCCATGAGAGAAGCAAAGCTAATTCTATTTGTAAAAAACATATTCTACTTTTATTTCCTATTTTTTTAGCATTTTGTCTCAAGTTTCACTGTATCTTGTATATGTTATTAAAGTGTATTTTTAAAGAAAACTGGAGCTAGACAGTAGTTAGTGATAAAAACAGACTATTCAGAAACTGTTGCAATAGGGGAAAATAGACCTCATTACAGAACCTGGGCTCCATTCCTAATACAGCAAGAATAGATGGAGATTTATAGCCAAGGAACAGAGAGGGGGTTAGTAGATGGAAAGTTACTAAAAGGAGACATCAGTGGTAGGGGGATTCCTGCTAAAGTCATTTAACAGGATTTTTGCTAAAACTGGGCTATGCAGCCACAGCAAGAATGTGAGCCAGGGTGGAGGGAGCCCTCATCAGAAAGAGGGCTCAGAGGAAACTGAATAAAGTTTGGTCAAGGAGAGAATCTGTCTGTATTTATGTTGTTCTTCTTAATTAATTATATCTACTGATCAAGGTAATGATTATTTTTTTATATTTCAGACAAAAGTTTTATATATAGTTTTATGATTATTTCGTACAATCTTATTGATTTTTCTCTTCTGTCTCTAAATGTATAGTTAATTCTGGCATCCTTTCATTTGATTTGATATGGTTAAGGATTTACAATTACAAGTGTTTCAGAAAGTCCAAAAATAATAATTTTACTTAAAACATCGAGGAGATAGCAATAGAGAAATAGACAATAAGTAACATAGGGCTCATGGGGAAAAATGCCGCTAGAGAGTAACAGCAGTAATGAACAAAATATTTGGAATAAACCACTCTTGTTTAAAACACTGTTCTAGAGACATTTTCTAAAATGCTTTGTGCTCTTGGAGGGTCTGGGTGGCTCAGTCAGTTAAGTGTCCGACTTTGGCTCGGGTCATGATCTCATGATCTCATGGTTCATGTGTTCGAGCTCCGTGTCTGGCTCTGTGCTGACAG